GGAATAAAATAAAGGGGAAAGAGACTTCTCTAAAACAGACAGGCAAACACCACAAACACCATAAACCATAGGAAAACAATGCTGACCTTTACAATGTTGTCCTCTCCACCAGATACAACCCATCGGCCATCTGGAGTAAATCTAATTGCATTGACACCTCGAGTATGGCCCTTGTAAGTGTGGATACACCCTTTTTTTCTGATATCCCATATGTTGAGATTTGTGTCAAGAGAGCCAGATGCAAAGAACTCTCCAAATGGGTGGAAATCCACAGATATACAATTGGATCTATGACCAGTCAGAGTACGAACAACTAGACAAGAATCAGATTGAAAGAAAATTAATGTAGAGAAGTGACAGCATAACATAAATAACAATAACAATTAATTATAGTCTAAAAGCAACAGGTAAAATTAACAGGAATATGCATATATATAACAATTAAATATAGTTTAAAAGCAACATGTAAAATTAACAGGAATATGCAAATATATATATATATACATATTTACAGAATCAGAAGAGCATACTTTTTGCCTCCTCCAAATCCCAAAGCTTGATTGTACCACTAGCAGCACCTGCTGCTACCAAGACTTCTGAGGAATCAAAGCTCACAGAATCTATTCCACTTGTGTGTCCTGACAAACTCTGTGTGTATGAAGGTTCAATTGTGAGGTTAGTGTATAAGAAATGCTTGGCCTGAAAGATGAAATCTTATGACAGGCAGCTGTTTTTACAAGTGCATAGTCTTTATTAGCTGCCCCCTTAAAGCCAACAACAGAAATAGCTTTGTATAGAAAATAACAAGATAATATTATTTGTCACATTTGTGTTGCCCTTCTTTAAGAATTAAGAAGCCAATTGATCCTATGGAATAAACTTATTGAGCTGCCCATACAAGGACTGCAACAGACAACCAACAATGAAAATACCATCTGAGTTCTAGAACACAAGCAATTTAAAAATAATAATAATCATCATAATAATAACAATAACAATAATAATAATAATAAAAGATGAGAGAATATGGGAGAAATTACCAGTAAGGCATTTGGTTTACCAATAGCCCAGAGATTGACTTTATGGTCTTCTCCTCCAGTCGCAAGAACCCTTGAAGATTTCCTCCCAATCTTGAGGCAATTGACACTAGAGGAATGTGCCACAAATTCCTCTATTTACAAATTGTCAGTTAAGGCTGTCCTCAGCTAACTGAGCCGGCAAATAAATCAACAACATACAAACAATAACAAACAAAAACAGAACAATACAGAGATCTGTTTTGGGCAATCACTAAAGTTCAAACAAGTCCAGATCAGGCATATCTACAAGCAATAAAATTTCCCACAAACTAACCAAACCCTAAAAGACTGTAAGCTAGTATATAAACGTAAACATAGGGCAGGGAAGGATACGGAGTTTATAAGCACGTTTGGTAGTCATGGCGGAAACGGAACTGCAGACAGAAAAACCCTAGCAGACATTCAAATCAAATCTAATGACACGACGGCGTAGATCCCATCTTCATTGTAAAATTTCCCAATGCTACCTCCAACCCAAAATCAACAAACACACTGTTAGATCGGAAAAAAGAAACAAAACCCAAGATGAAAAGAAAAAAATTGGGAAGCATCAGGTAAATGACATTTCACCAGAAATCGAGTTCGAAAGTCGTTGCTTCAAGCTGTCCACAAAAACAAATCTTTCCCTCTACTCGTCCCCTCCCTTCTTCCTCCACACTCAAAACCCAACAAAAAAAAAAAAGAGTAGATTACGGGTGGCTACTGAATAACAAGCAATCGAGAAAAATAGAGGATAATGTGTATTTTTCCACGTGTAGATAGCAATGTAGAACTAGAGGGGGAAATGGGTATGGCGTATTCCTTTCCTTCTTTGCTTCCAAACCCACATCCCACAAACTCTCTTGTTCTGAGCAGCAAGAAGTGATGTTTAGGTGAAGATCTTTCAGAGGGTCCAGCACTCAAATAGAGAGGAGGAAGGCCGCTTTCAAAAGTTTTCCGATCCCCCTGTCCCTCCTGTAATAATGATTTTTAGGTTAAAGGTCCAGTAAGGTATCTCAACTTTTAAATTGAGATCCGTTTTGGTCTCATAACTTCATTTGTCACTTTAGCCCTTAATTTAAATTCTGTTCGTTAGTTGGTAGTATGGCTTCTTTGTTCTTTTATTATTAAAAAAAAATTATTTAATTATAACAATACATGAAAATTTATTAAGCCAACATAGAAATTTTAAATTAAAGCTTGAATTAACAAAAAAAAAATGTTTTCAAGTTAAATTGCACAATAAAAGTATAATCTAACCTATTATTTTAGTAAATTTAGTGTTTAAACTGCATTTTTATTTTGTAATTTGACTTTAAAAACATAAATCTCTAAATTAAAATCATTTAAAGGAATTTTTAAAGAAAAAAAATTTTCCCCTTCTCTTCTACTTTGCCCTATCTCCATCTTCTTCCTTTGCTCATCTCTAATACTCAAGCGATGGCAAAAGTTGATTTTATAGTAAAGGACAATATCAACTCAGAGGAGAGGAAAAGAAAGGATGGACCTAGAACTAATTAAAATGACAATGAAACTCTTATTTCACTTGATAGTACCTTCAATTTAATTGTTAGCTCCAACAAAAACTCAATTTTATTCTTTACGAAGGTTGCAAATAGACCTCCACTAAAAACTTACCTTATTAAATTCCAACACATTTTCAATAAATCAAAATATAGAATTCTTAACCACTAAAATAGAGATTCTCTCCCCTTCTATCTTCTATCTCATTGTTTCTCCCACAAGATTGGTTATAGCTTTAGCTAGAAGATTGGTGTCATCCTCTCCTTTTTGAAGAACTAGTTAGATGAAATTTGCAAAATTTGTTAATTTGGGTTTGAGAAAATTTTATAAACAAACTTTACACTTGATATTAGAACCAAAACCTTGAAGAGAAAAACAATTTGAAATTTACCCAAGCTAGCACTCAAGGAAGGAAGACTTCCCTTAATCCTGGATACGTGCATGTGGATCACCATTATAGAGTTCAACTTTGAAGTCCTTTAAGCTTCTTCAACGTACAAGATTAAGAGCAATGCACCAATGAGCCACACTTCACTTGAGGTAGGAAATCGCCTTCCTTTCTTAACCACAGATGTGTCCGTATCCATAAAGATCCTATAGGTGGGTTTGATGAGGAAAAGTTTTAATTTATTATGCTATGACGTCCCCTAAAACTCAACATCAAACCCTTCCAATTTTAAACTTTAACCACAGATCTCATTTTGGTTAAAAAAATAAGAAGAAGCGTATTTCAACATTTCCATGGAACCAAGGTTCTTCAAGGACCATGAGAGCCTAACTGGTTATACTTGAAGAACCCAATTTAGGTTTTCTATGAGAACCCCATAGCTGGGTAGGACCTAGCTAGATTGGGTTCTGCATGAAAATCATTTGGAATTTGAACCTAATGATCAAGAGAATCGATGAGACTCCATAAAAACATAAGAAAAATATGGTGAGAAAAAGAATGAATGAGGAGGAATGAGAAAATAAGGTGGAAAAAAGTGGAAGGAGAAGAAGATTGAGAAGTTAATTCACTGAATTGATTTTTTGTTCTCATTGTTATTATTATTATTTTTTTTGTTTAATTTAATGATTTAATGTCAAATAGAATTTCTAAACATTATAGAAATAGACAAAAAAATCCAAAAATCTTTAATCATGTCAAAAAAACACCATAGACATTTTTAAGAGTGAGCATCTTTGGTCCATCCATCAACTTGTATCACGTTTCAACGTTTTCTCTGTCGCTAATAGAATAAAATATTAAAAAAAATAATTTCTTTTCTTTTTTTATTCATGCCTAGACCGACATCATTAACTTACCTTCTTTTTCTCTCTATTTTTCTGAAAATACAAACAGATAAAACCAACTGAAAATACCCCATTGATTGCCCTCTCTGTGAGACAGGTCAGTAATACGTGTGGAGTAGATCTTTGATCTTATGCAAGGATAATGGACAATGGTACATCCATTGCACAAGTAATTAATGGTTACATTAAGGTAGATAGAAAGAAGGCATATCTCATTGAAGTCATTTTCAATATAGGAACTTTTGGAGAAAAATGAAATAGCGTCCATCAAATTTACTTAAGTGAGAATCTAGCAAATTTTTTTAATAAGACTATTGGTCACTAAAACTTTTGAGTAATTAGTGCATAAGAGAGGTATGTATTGCTTGATAAAAAAAATACTCATTAAAGTGAGAGGGAGCATATGCTTCACACTTTTTTTTCCTTTGCCATGGTTTTTTCTTATTGAATTTTTCCTAGTAAGGTTTTTTTTTTTTTTGGAGGCAATTTAACAAATGTATGATAAAAGGTGAACATCCTTGAGGGGTGTTATGAATATTTGTTGTGGATATTTCATTTTCCTCACCTTTCATCTCCCCACTTCAATATAATGGCGGCTAACTTTCCCACTTTGCCATACACTTACATGCTCAGTATAATGGTAACTAACTTCCCCATTTTCCCATGTATCTAGTGGTGTTTTATTCCTATTTAGTGGTGACTAACTCTTGTATTGTAACTCTTACAATTCTTGTAAACTAGTCTATTATATGCAGGGCTTATTATAGTTTGGGAAAGATAAAGAAGAAAGAAGGATAAAACTCTTCATGGTCTTTGTCTCCCCTAGTCGCTCTATGTTTGCTTTACAACAAGGGTTTTTTTTAATTTAGAGCATGTTTGGTGAAGCTTGTAAGAGCTTCAACTTTTTGATACTATTTATGTTTCATAAATTTAAATTTTCTTTTTAAAAACTTACATTTTTTAACTTTTTTTTTAACTTAAAAAAAACTTTAAACAGTAAATTTTGAAAATTTTCAAATTTATGCTTTTTATAAACTTCTTTCTTACTCACTTTTTATTCACTTTTTACTCATTTTTTTCTATTTTTAAAAACAACTTTAAAATTTTCTCTTCAATAAAAATTTAAACTTATTACTCATAAACAGTACAAAAAAAAAAGAGTAAAAACTCTTATAAGTTTCACCAAAATTTCACCAAACATGCTCTTAAGCCCTTAGGGTAAAGTTTTTTTTTTTTATTGCCCTTATGGCAAAGTTATTATGAAATAAATAAAGGTTAACTTCAATTCTATCAATCAATCAATGAAAATCATGCATATATCACTAGTGTTGAAAATGAGAATAGTTTTTTTTTTTATACAAATTAATGAGAAAAGGAATGCAAGTAATGAACTCTTAATATGTGTTATAAAAGTATATGTTAGATAAACTCTTACAATAAATATTGTATCTTCCTACCATAAAAATTCTCATCTTCCTAGACTGATATTTTGACATGTAGCGAAAGATGCTTGGGTAAGGTAAATAACCAAATGCAAAATTAATATTGTTTTTTTACAATGAAAATATATTTTAAAACTCAGAATGTACACATGACATCAAATGATGCATATTTCTTCATGCATCTTATTCGAATTAAAAGAGCCAATAAAAGTTGTCTTACGGCGAGAATTTATTTTAAATAAACATTGTCCATACAGCCTCATCTTGGGATGAAGATAGAATTTTCGAACGGGTTCAAACAAAGACCTTTAGCTAGATTAAGGGTAAATTTGATTTTGCAACATGTAACTTTTGTGATTGGCGCTAGTTTCCGACACTTTGTTGACCCTTAACTGTAATTGACTAATTGTACCTCCATCTGGAACAATTTTGCTCATCTTTCCTCTGTTGCTGTTACCCTTTAGGATGAGCTTTTCGTGACCTGTGACTAGTTAGTGGTGCAGAAATTATTACCATTAAGGTGGGAAACAAACAGGATTACAAGAGCTGAACGCTACAAAGCGTAAACATGCCCTTTAAAAGTTTCATGCATATGCATAGAAGGCTTCAAGCTAGTAACTTAAATTTAAGGGAAACACCTACACAACCTTCCACTTCAATTAATAATTCAACCATTTCATATAAAACCCATAGATATGCTCTTTTCAGTTTTCAGTTCGGACCTATAAAACAAAATATTAATCCATGTTTTCACAACATTCTGAGTTGATATATCTATACTGTTGTTTGTATTTTAGGCATTTTAAACCCGGACCAACATTTCATATTTTGCCAGTTTAGGCTAAAACCGTGAACCAATAGAATGAGGAGATACGAAGGATTAGGAACAAAACACACGTAATGGCTTCCATCATAAGCCGTAAAGTGAGAGACACTTCGACAATGACATGCACATTTGTTTGAACACACTATATTTGTAGTTGGAATTAATATCACCCAAATATATATCACTCGAGACAGTTCAGGCCATCCACTAGTTCTCTCCTAACTTCATCGACATCAATGCTCGACAATACAAATACAAATAAAGCAAACGATGATAGTAAAATCAGTGAGTGGCAGATACATGACCCAACAAAAGATTTACAGGCACCTCAGATATATATATATATATATATATATATGAATATAATGGCACAATGGGTAAGGGGTTAAATGAAGAATATACCAGAAAGATGTTTCTGTTTTGTATATGGAGACTCTGCGCATTGCACATTCTCGAGTATAAAGAGTTTGTTCACATCCCAGGAAAAGACAAAAAGAACCAAACAAGGTAGAGCTCTCAGTCCATTATATGTGATGACCAGGGGAGCGCCCAATTAGTCTGCACTGCTCTGGAAGCAATGAAGAGACTACTTGGCCGTTGAGGGCGAAAAACTCACCATCAATGCCACAGCCATTGTGTGTGTGCTTCCCAGCCTTAAGCCTTACTGATTTTACCTGCATTTCAATGGAACTTTAAAAATGATGCTTCTGGTAACCCACACATAAGGGAGATAAAGAATGAAATTGTGAAATTGTTAAGATGAGGAACTTACAAAACAACATAAAAGCTATATCATATCCAAGTGATGAAATACACCAACTAAAGACTATTAAAGAGAGTTGGTCAGAGAGCTGCCAAATAAAAGTAGAATTGCCATATCTGCTTTTGATGGTCACACTCTCTGAGTTTCCCATTTCTGACAGAGGCACTGAATAACTAAGTAAAAGTATAGCACAGAATCACCAACTCCATAATGCAACAGGAAACTCATTCACGTATTCCCCTCATTCCCTAGTCACTACTTTACTTACTGAGTCAGTGGATCCAACATGCAGTTAGTTTACCTTAAATCCCTAAACGAACTTTTGTAGCTAACTTGCTAAAATAAGTTCAACCGAGAAGTTGGTTAGTACCACTGTCTGATATGCATGTTAAATACAGTGACAACAATTTTGTTATATATTGTCTTCTTCACTTGTCAATTACATCTAGATTCTTTCAAGTGTTCTGAGATTGCAGCTAGATGCATTTTCATGGGCTCAACAATCAAGTTTATAGATTTAGATTTGCAATACATCTCTGCTTTTAGAATTGAAGTGTGAAAGGAGCAGGAAAGCATATATTCATACCTTAACATATTCAACATATGGCAGAGAAAGGTGTCTGCCCATCTGCAACAGCAAGAAAAATCTCAATAGCTTCAATCGCCCACTCCCATGAACTAATAGCAAATCCATGGTGTTGTCATCATGCTCAGCTTTTGGTGCCACCACCTGAGAACCTTGCACCGTTCTGCACGCATGGTTGCAAACAAGGATGCCAAGAAATTGACCTTTAGTAACAACCCATTTTTCTTCATTCCTTGGTGCAAGTTCCTTCTTTATACCTGCCTCGACATCCTCTGGTGGTCCTGGCAATTCAATTGGATTTTCCACATCCCAAGTAGCCTCTCTGTCCCATTTAGGTTCAGCATCCCAAATTGGACCTGGATCAGACAATGTTGAAGATATATCTTCTTTATCATTTGTTACAACATTCCCCCAAGAACATCTTGTCGGATCATGTGCAGTGGTCAGTCCAGTCCATCCTTTGTCCATCCTTGACTTTGATCTGGTCCGTGGCCAGTTTGTAGTAGTTGATAGTGGTAACTGAGGATGAATAACTTCTGGTTCAGCTGTTATATTGCTTCTCCCAGATGATAGGCGTTTTGCTTTTGGATCTAGGCCACGCACATATTCAGATGGTTCAGCGCTAGCATGAGTGCTACTACAAGTTGTATCTAAATCACCCCCAGACATCCGACTAGGGGTCATTATTGAGTCAATACTTGATAAACTAGAAGCTCGGGGGATGCCTTCTTTGCTTGATCCCCTCATAATGTCTGTGTAGAGATCAGACATGTCAATAACTTCAGAGTGTCTTCCTTCTGGATCCTCTTTTGCTGCAGGAAGATACTCAACTTCATAGCTGTACTTAGGTAAACACAAAAACTTAAGGAAGCCAGCGACAAAATAGCGCAGTGGACCAAAGTGCTTCTGATATTTCTCAGAAAGTTCCAAAACTGCAACATGACCAAAAACATGTGGAAGAAATACAGATAAAGATTAACTTTCAAACCCCAAACATGCTTAATATTTCATGGACAAATCAAAATATATACAGGAAAAGATAAAATGGCTTCTTGCAATCCATTCTAGGCTGCAACTGGTATTCATTCCATGTATCAGCTAATGATTATGACAAAAACCCAATGGATGGAAATGCACATCAGAGAATTCTATAAAATTTGAAGAACAGCAACCTCATTGGGCATCTATACACCCAAGCCACAAATAAAAAACTGTCACCATACCATAAAGAGGCAATCCAGAAACAAAATAATCAACCACATGTACCAAAATGCAGGCACTCAAGAAGCAATATAACCATAGCAAAGATTGCAATCCTAAAACAGCCAGGTCAGATCAACTCTTGCTATCACTTACCATCGCTAACAAAACCATAATAGGATACGGTCATCCCAAAGTGAATAATACCAGTCTGAATCCACTCAACAGCAAAAACATCTGTAGCAGTAAGACCCCCCTGAAACCAACAAAAGTACCAAAAATAATAGACATGTAAGAGACCAGTAGCACTGTAGCAGATACAAAGATCTGCACAAATGTATTAAAACTAAATAAATTAAAGCATAAAATCAACTGAAATAATGATGTAAATTTAACTAGAACTGCTCATTGGCCAGGCTAAGACAGAACATAAAACATCTGCTCATTAACCATGAAACATAATACACATTTTTTGTTCAAAAAGTTTGGATGTTGCACCAATTTTGTTCATATACACTTCATACTTTTGTTGGTTTCATCGGGTATGGTATTACTCTTACCATTATCTATCTCATTAGCAAAGTAGGGAAAAAATATACTTCCCCATCTCCATGGCCAATAAGAATGAGGTTAACAATCATGTAAACACAGGGATTTTAACTCATCTTCTACAATCTCCATCCATTGTCTCTTTTTCTTAATACTTCAAAAGATAAAACATTTCTAAGAAAATATGATAATTTATAGAAAATTTTTAAGAAAATATTATAATTTCTAACCATATAAATAGTCATAATAGTACAAAAAAGTGTTTTGCAGTCCAGGAATTATCATATTTATTTTCTTAAAAATTTTCCCATTGATTGATTAGTCTTCTTAGTATGAATTATGCATTTGTTGTCATTTCTATCTTTATAGGCTCCCCCATCCAATGGTAGGTGTTTTGAAGTCCAGACTGCAAAATACTGGATTCATAATAGTATATTAAAAAAAATATAGACAAGGTATAAGTCAAGTAACTTGGGTGGGGTAAGTTGTACCCATCCATGCCCCTAGCACCCAATCTGACAGCAAAACTTTTGCCCCCAGCACAAACTGAAAAAAAATATATTAAAAACTAGAAAAATAATTGGGCTATACAACAGGGATGATTAAATGTCATAAATACATGATCTATAAGGAATAAGCCCATAAAATTATTGTGGATAACATTAGATTCTCCATTCATAAAGTTTCAATTGGATATCAAATTTTATTTTTAAACATCAAAAATTGCAACTAAATCTATAAATTTTCCATTACGCTCTGGCAAGTAAATAAATACTTAAATCCCAAGAAACAAAAACCGATGGTAAATGATTAGAATTTTCTAAATTCTATTTTCCAACAAGATAGACATCAACTTCAATTCAACTCCCTATTTAACAAATAGACATTCATCATACACATACCATATAGTCTTTCACACTCAAGTCAACTGTTACTAGGCAGACAAACGTAAACAGCAATCGTAAAACTCTCTAATAATTTAGAGGATTGAAAATCAACGATAAAAAAATGGCAAATTACCCTCAGAAATTCAAGTTCCTTTTTTCTATTAGTTCATGTAGATCTATCATGTATGATAACAATGTACTACCATAGGTTTTTTATTTTTACTTTTTTTTTCATGGGAACTAACAGAAACAACAGCATGTTATACTTTCACGAGTAAATTCTTACCTTTAGCACTGTAGGCGCAAAATTAGAGTAATAGCCAATAAATAAGATTCTGGCTGGAGACTGGCAAGGCAAGCTGGAGGATTGTATTTCATGAAAAACTTACAGCACCAAGAAGATAATAATAGTAAAAAGTTTACCTTCACAATAGATATTGCAGCAGAAACAGGATCTCTAACGCCTAGAACTGTCCAAACCAGTGAATTGTCAGATCCAGCAGGTATAATGCCAATTGGTATAGAAATTCCTTCCTTCTGGTTGTCTCTACTAAGTAGGCCATTTAGAACCTATAAAGTGCCAAGATAAAGAAATTAGTTTTAACGTAAGCAGAAGCATCAGTAGAATGTATAAGATAACCCTACCCTCCACTTAAAGGGAGGATCATTAAATATTTGATTCCAGAGCTTTTATCAAATTTAATTACACTGAGTAATCAGCAAGACTTTCATCCTCAAAGGCTCGAACCAGCTGTTTATGGATCTTCTACAACTAATCTTAAAATATTTGACAGCTTATGCACCAAAACTTACTAAAGAGGATTAGGCTGAGAACATATGGCATATTCAAGATTGCATGCTACAGCCCTTCTATGACAACAATCTAGGTTTTAGTGAGGAAAGCAATTAACTTCTCTTCCTTTTTATGAGAGGAAAGCAATTAATGTTGGATAGTTTAAAAGAGATGACTAAAATAGAGGTGACTTTGAAAAAAGCGAAGTTACAAACTAGCAAGATTGGACTTGAACAATATTACCCAGGAAACATGTTGGAATTGGTGGACATAGTTAATGTTTGAAAGAGATGATCAGACCATGTCCATGATAGAATGGCTTGATCATGGCTGTTTGTTGATCAGAAGGCATGATTTAAGAATCAGATGATTAAGTGGCATGATCAAGATTATCATAACCACTGATTAATCATGGTTGAAGACAACGGGGTATATCTGATATAAACATGGCTAAATTCAATTAAGTTTACCTTTTCAAAAGCAACTGGCCATGCATGTTTCAAAATTCAAAGGCATGTGTCTGTTATGCAAGAGTTGTGTCCATTTGACATATCCATTGAAGATGCCCATTCGTTCTCTATATAAGGAATGGTACAAAAGTTCATTTCATTCCAATCTTAATTCCTTCATATCTGTATTTGACAGATTTTAGTTTTTAAGTTTTTTAGTATACCAAGGGCATTTTGATGTCCTAAGGATAGTGATTCCTTTCATGCCTTGGAACGTCTTTTCTTTCTTTTTCTTTCCTGTTACTATTTATTCCTCTAACAATTAACTCTGAGTCCAGTCATGGAGATACCTTAGAATTTAGAAATGCCTTAGGTTAAGACGAACTAGAGAACGAATGCATGAATACAATTTTTGTGAAATGAAGGAGACAAATAAAGAAATATAAAGGATGCAGTTCAAATTGACAGAAAGTTTCAAAAGTGATAGAGATTATTTTGAATCAGTTATATGGCAAGAATATCACCAAGGAAGATTATGCTTATTTAAGGAAATAGAGGTGCCCTTAAGAAGCATTATGTAGTCATTAAGCACCTACACAAGATGGAAGAAATCTTTTACAGGTAACCTTTGCCATGGGATATTTAAAAAGCAAGCATGGTTATTGAAAAGGTGATGGATTATCCTCCCATAAACAGCAGCAATTGATTGTGGTCCTTTTTCGTTTAAATGTTTAACTTAGTTAAAAAAAACTTCATCTTGACTTCATCTAAATCTTTAATGCCACAACTTGTAGTCAGGTGGAAGGAATCAATTCCATAGAATGCAAACAGTAAGTTCAATTCAATCTGCAACAACCTCAGAATTCAAATCACTTTTCCAAATGTAACAAATGCCTGAGTACTATAAAGAATAAAACATAATATTTATTCACAAGACAAGTGAGGGCTTATGTTTTCTTAATAATAATAAAGAAGAAGAAGATTGCATGGAAAAAGCATGAAAGAAAGATCGACAAGAATCCATCACAACTAATAGTTTTGCCTGTCAAGAACTGATATATGGAAGATATTGTCTCTAAAGCATTGTGGACTAGTAATTGTCAACAACTATGAAACACCTTCCAGAACCTTTATTAGTCATTGACTAGAAAATTTGTATGTAACCTGATTGAAAAGAAGCAACTTTTCACCCAAACAATCACATAGTTTAGTTGACAAAAAAGAGGTGGTTAAGTGCTGAATGAAGGCTGTTTTTAGTTCATCTGAACCAATAACTTGATTACATTCACCCACCAAGTGCACAAAAATAAAAAGTTAAGTGGAAAGTTGTGATGCGTGCAAAAAACACCATAATTCCTAGATAAATAAAGAAACAAGAATGAATATTGAACTAAACTCAAATGACTAACCTCATTGATAATTCCATCACCTCCAACGCATATGATTCCTGACGAAATATACAAAAGGTCAGACCCACAACCATTAAGAAGATAACAAAGATCATCAAAAATATAGGCAACGATCATATTAGACTTGTTATTCTAAGGCATATCAAGCAGTACTACCATCAGGACAGGTGCTGATATCAACGGTCGATGCCAGCTTTTTAGCATGGCCAGCTGATGTTGTTTTCACTACCTCCAATTTAAACCCTGCAAGCTGCCAATATTTCCATGTTAACTGTGAATATAAACATGAACCACACTGTAAAATAGACCAAACAAAAAAATAACGTGAGTGATAAGGAGATCATGAAAGAGAAACTAGAACACAAAAAGCATACTAAAGATGATTTCGGAGAATTATTGCAGAAGTGAATATTTTACAGCACAAACATCACCATATCATGCATGAGTCGGAAGTTCTCAAGGCCTGTGATGCTTTTGCATGTTTTCACTGCAATTACAAAGAAAAGATGTATCCTAAAATTTGAAGTGCACCTTATATATATATATATATATATATATATATATCCTGGACCTGGTATGGGATAAAAGCACTGGATACCAATCAAAAACCCAGAAAAACAGACACACTGGCAGTGATTCAAGAATCAGGAAGTAACACCAGTACCCATTATTACAATAATAAGAATAGAACACAACAAACTAATTTGAACAAGCATAATCCAATAAAGCTAAAATATCTTTGCAAAAAATTGCTAAGTAAAAAAATGGTGGGTAAAGGAGGTAAATTTTGAAGTGGTTCTAGATACTAATGAATCATCCAAAAATCAAGAACCAAATGTACATAAAAGAATCTTAAGAAATGGGCTATTATAAATAAAATGCAGAATAACAAGAAGACCACTTTCTAAATTATTAAAAAACAAATCTCATGGCTTTCCCCTGAACCTAACTTCAATATTTGCTTCTAATAATTAGATTACTATACTCATAAATAAATCCACAAAAATAAAAAAGCAAGTTATTTCATGCCTGGAAGCAAAATTCCAAAATACTAATTTCAAGGCCTATTCTAACTTTCATCTTAAGTGCAATACAATCCAGCCGCTTGGCATCTCAAGCAGGATTATATCAAACAAACTGCAAAAATAAGAACAATTAAGATTGCACCTAGGAACATAACATACCTTAAAAATGGGTTCAACAATACCATCGAAAACTTTACTAGAACGACCACGCCCTGATCGTGGATTTAATATTACAAGCATTTTTGGTGGATTCTTGCACTTGAATAGCAGTTCATGGGGAATATCCATTGGAAATAACTCAGAAGAAGACTGCTTCTTTGAAGAAACCAAAGGGTGAGGCAAACAATTGACAAAACACTGCTGATCCGCAAAGGCACCAACCCATTGAACTGCCACTTCTGCACTTGAAGCCACAAAACGAAAGTCCTTCCGACTTCTTCGAGGTTTTATAAAACAGGACAAGCCATAAGAACTCTTTTTCAGAGGGTAAGAATGCACGGTGAAATGTCTAAGACCAACATTATATGTTACCTGTCAAGATAATCTAAGTAATTAGACCCATCACAAAGTCAGGCAAATAAATTTATTGTTGAGTATGGTCG